TCGGAAATCAAATTCGAGACCATGTCATCTTGCATCATTTTTTTGTTGACCCCCTTCTAAAAAAACATTGAAATGAGCGCTTGGCTCGTTTCCCCCTCGAGGAGCTCTTGTTCAACTCTCATTCAAACCATCATCATCACATAAGTAAATCAGCAAAAAAAACATCAACACGACCTTCACCGTCACCATGCCCCCTCATATCAACTTTCAGCGTGATCACACTCACAACTCAAAGCAAGCTGTCCCAGGAGACAACAGTCGGGGGCTACTGACGACTGATTCTTCAGGGCTCACGGAGACCTCCGGTTTCAGCGACACTCCAGTTGCCACCAGTGATTTCGCAACACGCTATGATGAACCAATACCAAATCAACGTGGTTGTGAGTGCACAACTCCAATTTTTATCGTCGACTTTGATATCCCTTCACTATAGCCCTACTTCATAGCGGTTGTCCCCTATAAACAGACACTTGATTCTTGCGCTGCTGCCATCAAAGGTCCTCTTTGTTTGACCATGATCTGAGAATTCATTTCCTTGAATTGATCACGCATTTCTTGTGACATCTTGCTCCACATCAATTAAGCCCTTGCCTCCACTCGCATTCTGTATCTGAATTGTATCGGCACTCCGACACATTTCACACACCGGGCATTTTTTTTTCTAAGCCCCATCATCTGACTTGTTTGCTTCTTGAACGCTTCAGTATCTCCTTTTCGCCCGGCTCCCACCGAGGACGAAGGGTTTGGTCAATCCAGCATTCAGTCATCAAACAGTGGGTGAAGTCATCCGTCCATCTTTTCCTCTCGCCACAATCACCTCACCGCCACATCTCATTGATATAATTGAACATCAACACATCCATACCAACGACACCCAACACTTTTACCGTTTCTGATCGATCCTGACCCGTGGAATTCACCTGCATTGTACTGATTACTTATTTTACTCTCCAGCAGGGCCCCTCATGTCTGATTACAGAAACAACTCAGAAGTTACATCTTTGGCTTCATTTGATGGGCGATACGATCTCAGTGATCAACCCTATCCGGCAGTCATACCAGTCGACAATGTTTCTTCGTCAATTGGTATTGCACCCAGCTTACAACATTCGAATCAGAGTCGTAGTGTTATAAGTGGTCAAGCTCGTAAGTCCAGTGATTCATCAATGGTTACCATTGTCATGTTTTTCCAACACCAGTAGCTGAGATGAAACTCTTGTTGTGCATTTTGAAAGCTTCTTTGACCGGCCGTCGTACTGAGTCCGAGGCTACTGACACCAGTGGAAACAACTCCCCAAACTCCTCAACGCATGGTGCGTCTTAATGTTGTATCCGTAGAGCACTTGACAAGACTACTTACAATTTCGCATTACCATGCATAGCTTCCAAGCATCAAGACACAGTGAGAGACCCCCGTCTCATCAGTGATACCCACCAGACCCTCGTTCCCACCGGACCTGCCTTTGCACTTCCGACCGCCTCAGGCTGTTCTTTTGATATCGAAGGAAGGTCAACCACGTCTGCTAATTCCCATGAAAACGTCGGAGCTGGTGATACAACTTCCAACCTTACACGTGAATCTTTGAACCGTGTTCTATTAGTTTTACATTAATTTGCTAACTGTCTGCTTCTATATCATCTTTTTCTATAGATGCAAATTCTTCTGTCCAGTTGTCTGTACCATTTGCAAACTCTCAGTCTAATTCTTTCCAGTATACTCGCCCTGTAACATACAATAGCAATAACGATAATGATGAAGTTGACGACATTCACGAATTAGCAACTGACTTGACGAAACCATCTCGCATTCCAACTGCCATACCGCGCTACGCTCGCCGTGATACCAATTATACAAGCTCTACCCCTGTCACCCAAAACTCTGTCCCCAAATCTTCAATTCCGGTTCCCCCCATACGACCCAAAGCTGATGACATCACTGATCATGCGTCTTCTCAATTGAAACCCAATTTACCAGCATTCAACTGGAAGAATAAGGGCATCGGATTGGTCCAGCATAACATTCCCACCGGTGTTGAGGTCCCAAGAAGTTCCGCTGGGTCTGATGATGATGGCAACTCAAGCTCTCCGTCCGCAAGCCTTGCACCTGCTCTCAAGCCCAGTTTTGCCACTTCACACGCCCAAACTTACGACCAGAAGGCCCAGTCTTCATTCCAAGACACTGCATCGACTAACTTTAAATATTCAGCTGAACCCGAAGCCGATACGCAGTCTGATCGATCCAGCCGGTCCGAACTTGACCATCGTCCCTCGAACTTCGGTGTTAGCTCTAGCTCCGCTTTCGCTGCCTCTCAAACCAAAGAGTTCGATTCCTCGAGTACTTTCCAAGCGCAAGAGCGGTCAGCTGGGTTCAACATGTCTGATAGTTACCCGCTGCCTCAACCAACCACCATAGCTGACTCGAGTCATGGGATCGCCCGCTGTGGGGATACTCAAGTCACACGCGAGCTACCAACAAACCAGCGCACCCCGAACATCACTGAGCCAAACTTTCCCAGGAAGTTGGAAGACATCAACTCCATTGCGAAATCTGAAGGAAGCTGCGAGATCGATGAACATAATCCACCCTCTTCCCTCTCCCGCAACAGGTTTGGTTTCTCGTCCAGTCTGCAGCGCTCCACGCAGACCCAACAAAAAGATACTCAATCATCGTATGGTCACAATATCAACTTCACCGAACCACCCAAGAATTTTGGTGTTTCTGCAGTCCCTGATATAGTTGAGAAAACTGATGGAAGTGACACCTCAGATATCTCGACATCCAATGAAGACCATGAAGCTTCTCCTGCTCCTTACCTTTCTCGATCTGAAACTAAACTTGACACAAGCCTTGGTCTAGCCGATGATCTACGATGTCTCCCAACTGACCAAACTCGTGACACTGTAGATAAGGATGTGAACTTGACGTCGAATGCACGTTCAGCGCCGATCCAACAAGAGCAAGCCTCTACCGTGTTTCAAGCTGAGAGTCTTACCTCTTCAGATCTGGAAGCTCATGATCGGAATAGCAACGCTACGGATGAGGCTTTGGGTAGACAACAATGGAGCGCCGTCTGTCCAATTACTCAGTCATCAATTGTGGATGACAACATGACCCCGTCCTTGAAACATCAATCGAGCCAAGTACAAAGTCAAACCCATGAAATGCCCCCGACCACCAGATCTGCAGTTCAAGACCAGCATGCTCACCGAGCCTCAAAGCCATCCGAATCCGATGACGAGGAGCTTGAATACTTAGAAGACAACAATTCAGATGGTCAAATTTCAAGCAAGAATCTGGAGCAGACCTCATTCGATCACCCAGAAAATACTAAGGCTACAATCGAACCATTGCCAGTTGTGCCTCCACCACCAGCAGAGCATCCACTCAACCCCTTCACCGGTCGCTTTTCAGATTGCGTCATAGAAAACCGCGTTCCTCAAGATTTCAGAGATGAAAAGACCTCGACTGGGTGGATTGTTTCCAAAGAAGCACACAAGCAAGAAGTCGATCTCAAGACTGTATCAAATCAAGTCGGAGATAAACCATCCGGAAGCGAACACAGCTTCGAAGTCAAGGCTGGATCTGAGAGCAATCCTTCATCTCCAAGCTTGCAAGCTACTCATCACTCGAACTTTGATCAAACTTTGGACGAACCCATCTTCAACAAACCTGGTAGATCAGACGGTCAAGACAGTACAGTAGCACCATTTACTCTGGAATCGTCAACTAAACAAATTGAAAACTTCGGAAAAGTGGAGGTTGAATCTGACAGTGGTTCTTCATCCTCAAGCTCCAAGGCTACTCATTTTTCAAAACCTGACGAGTCTTTTGAGTCTCCCGCTGTTTACCTACCTGAGAGGTCAGTTGGTCAGAACAGCATTTGGACTGCATCTGCTTTGGAATCGTCAATGGAGCACCAAACAAATCTTGAAATCAAGCAAACCTTCGAAGTCGAGGATAGATCGGAGAGCGAGTCTACATCACAAAGCTCCAGCGTTTCTCGACATTCAAAATTTGATTCAACATTGGACAAACCCCCTTTCTACAAATCTGATAATTTAGATCATCATGATAGCGTAGCAGCAGCATTTATTTCGGACTCCTCCACCAAAGAAGCCACAAACTTTGAAGAAGTAGAGGCTGAAACTGATTCTTTGTCCTCAAGCTCCCGAGTTTCTCATACTTCAAACCTTGATCAGCCTTTTGAATCTTCTACTGTCCACAAACCTGAGATGTTAGTTGGTCCAGCTAGTGTGGCAGCTACATCTGCATTCGAACCGTCGAATGAACGCTCAAAGAATCTCACAATTCAACGAAGCTTTGAAGTGAAGGACGGATCGGAGAGTGTCTCTTCATCCTCCAGCTCCAGGCCCTCTCATGTTTCAAGAGGTGAAACTCCGAAATCTCCCAATGTCTACGAAGCTGGTAAGTTAGCCAGCCAGAATAGCGCAGCAGCTTTGTCTGGTGTGGAATTTTTGATCAAACACACGGCGGATGTCGAAAGCGAACATGACTTTGAAGTTGAGGCCGAATCTGAGACCAAGTCTTCATCATCGCACTCCAGCACTTCTGATCGCTCAAAGATTCCAGATCAACACTTCGAAGAATTCACTGTTGGAGCACCCCACTATGGAGCTGCAGACGCCGGGATCAAGTCATCTCACCAAGATCGCAATTGCTATGCCCAAGATGCCATCTCAGACCCCAGCAATGTTGCCGAATCTATGAATGAGTCCCATTCTACTGGAGTTGGATCCCACTTTGTTGGAATTAGCAAGGCATATAAGATTGACGATGTGAAGAAGGATTCTTTCTCGCACGATCACCCCTCAGATAAGAGTCAGCATGCAAAATCCCAAGAGGATCAGCTGTCCAAGTCTTTTTCTCGACCCTCATCACTGCGATCAACATCATGTGATTCCTCTTTAGTGGAGCGGGAGCGCAAGATTGAAGTAGGAGTCGATTCAAAACATACCGACATAATCGATTCCAGAGCAACGAGTGAGTGGCAAGAGGACGCACGCTACCCTCAATCAACTGCTCACCAAGCCGTTGAGCCTACTCGGACATTTGGTGAAAGCAAAAAGGATGTCTCCTTCCCATCACGTAAGTCTCCATTGCTTTCATACATAGACTCGCTGGCCAACACTTTAACTGTTTCAGAACCCAAAGATTTCAGCGTTGTCAATTCTGAAGGCTATGGTTCCAGCTCAAAGGGTAGCGGCACTCTACCCTCTGTTCAGATGGGTGCAACAGACAATCATTCGGCCGACCATCATGCAGATTTTTCATCTCTTTGCTTGACCAGACACCAATCTAGTCGGCCCCCTCCAGTAGCAGCTTTTCCTATAGCTCTAGACTCGCGTGAGAATGACTCCAAGTACGAAACCAAGCCTTCACATCACACCATTACAACTGAAGAGGCTGGAGCAGTCGATGATCAAACCGTAACTCAACGCCATGCCAAGTACGAAGATATATTGTCGGTCTCGGCAACGTCAGATTGTACTTCAAATTCTCTATCTGAGGATGCTTCCGATCGCAATTCAACTACCCAAACTCAGAACATCAGACACACCACACATTCACAAGAACCTTCGTCTACCTACATGCCTGACGATACATCCCGAGTCATTCGGGATAGTGTTGCTCCACCAGCCGCGCTTACTGGCTTACCAGATTCTTCGCAACATCTATCAGCAGCGATAGATGATGGCTCCTCATATCATCTTCATCAGCAAGACGCTCAAAGGATTGCTGTCACAGACCAACCTCACAATGAACCTGATGAATGTGCCACGGGCATTCGTCGTGTCACTACTAACGTATCTACTTTCCTTTCTGCACAGGTCGACGAAAGCTCTCCACATCAATATCATCAACCATTCCCAACCGGAACATCGAACCAAGAAGGTCTGATAGCGTCTCGGTCTCCTGATGATCTTGCTCGCGAACAAGGTAGTTCTTTGACTTTCAGAGCTCCTTTAGCTGAATCCGATGCGCTTAAGCGTCCGGACATGACCCATGACTTAGCCGAAGAAAGGTCACTTGAGGTTTGTTCCTTTACGTACCCTTGTCTGAATTCCTCCCCGTCCCATTGATATTGCTAACAATGCTTGTACGTCAGAAGACTTACTCAGAGCACACGAATGAGCGCGACAACGTAGAAACTTCCAGCTGGACAAACTTCGAACCCACGCAAGAGCTACAATTCTCAGGCCGTCAAAATCCAACAACACAGTCAGTGCGCCAAGATCAGTGGAGCAATGATCATTCAATCACCTCCAAACTCGAATCTTCCGAATCACCATCTCAGGTAACCATGAACAAATCCCTTTTTCAATCACCCACAACCGGTACAGAAACTGAAGACGGGTCACATTCTGCTTTTACTGAGCACAAGGTAACCTTTTAGCTTTTTTGTTAACTCTCTGGGCGACACTCTGTTGACTGATATGCACTGCCATTCGTTTAGCTCACCACTACCACTGACAGGACTGAGCCTTTCAGAAGTCAAGAGATTTCCATATCCGAAACACCGCAAGACCCTACCGCTCATCAAGAGATGACCAGTTATACGAAATCCGAGGAGGACCATCATGGCAATGTCGATACTTTGGACTTTGCTTCGAACATGTGCCTAGAAGCCCCCTCCCCTCCAAAATCCAACTCCGAGGATTCTGACGCGCCATACGAAGATAAAAAGGATGAAACCCAGGTTCAACATACACGCACTCAGTCTGCTATATCCCTACCACGCGAGACTCCTCTCTTGGCGGAATCTGGTCAGACCCCCTCCCAGACACCTGTCCAGTCGATGTCGGATGTAGCTCGCCAATATGATGCCAATGCGGAAGCGTCCGACAACGGTACTTCCCCTGAAGTTTCAATGATTTTTAGAGATCTCTCGGAAGAGCAATCAGCCTTAGATATCTCAGTCGAACTGGATGCGCACCGACAGCCAGAAGCAACTCTTTATCAATCAACGTTCAGAGATGATGACGCGGACGCAGCTCTTCTAGATCACAGAGCTGCCTCAAAAAGTACAACTCATTCGATACATACACCTCAAGATACTTGGAGCTCTCATTCTCGCCGGAGCTCTCATTCTCGCCGCGAGACCTCCATTGCTACACATGAAGTAAGCGTCTTTTCCCAGCAAAGGAATTCTCTCGCGGTGCAAATCGCACCAGCCAGAACGTGTGAGATTTCAGGCGCTAATGCAAATTCCTCAATTTCTTTTGAACAGTTGTTACCCGAGTTTCAAGATGAACAAAACCAATCCCGATCGGCACCCGAAGCGCTACTCACGCTGGCTTCTTCGGCAAATCCTAGCGTCGCATCTCCATATGAGCACAATATCAATGTTGAGCAAGGGTCCGAGGCATGCCACTTTGCACGAGCATCTGATCTACTTTCACCTGTTTCAGCTGCCCGGAACGGGACTGAGAATACAGGCAATCTTACATCAAACAGTTTTGGGACAAGGAATGATCAGTTTGACGTCATTCAAGCTTCAGTGCCTGTTTCACAGCTGGAGTCTTCTTCCGACATCGATGATTCATCATCGTCCCTTTCTGTGTCAAACGAACTTGATCAACGTATGGTCAACTGCTTAGGTTTGCTATTTGTTCACTTCTCTCACCTTGATAATCCCAAAGTTAACCACTGCGATTCTCATCTCAATTCACTTTCATGAAGCAATGTCTCCTGGACACAGCTCGAATGTCTTGCGCGATACCGTTGAAACTGCACAAGAATCCGATATTGATATCTTGCAAGATAGTGCAGCACCTTCCAGCCGGTCCACTGACATCTTGGAAGACGCTGCAGCAGAATCTCGCATGTCCGAACAGGGAACTCGACAGCAAGATGAGCCCTTGAGCAACCCTTCAAGAGAACTCGCCGCTGTACATCGTGATCTTGAGGTCGACTCTCAACTTGCAGTGTTTGACGATACACCAAAGGAGTTTCAACCCACCGATCTCAGCTCAGAACTCGAAGTTTCTCAGTCCAGCATTTCAAACATGATTCTCGAAGCTACCGCTCATGAGAAAGGCGAACCCGATATTCAACACAGCTTGGGTTCTCGTACTGATGACACATATCAACACGTCCATACCGGAAGACTTTCAACATTGGATTCAGCCATCACAACACTTGAGAATGACCTCAAGTCACCCCTCACCTTTGGCAATCATGGCCTAGACGGCTCCCCTCAGGGATCATCCAAATCTACACCAGATGGATCAGTCCACCTCAGTTCTAGTACCTCTTCAGGCGAGAAGCATGAGCTCAACCCAACGTCACCTAGCAATACGGTCAACGTATCAGGTGAGTACTTTGCTGCTCGGACTCTTCCCAATCTCCTCGCTGACTGCAAATCAATTCCAGGCTTTAACGAAACGTCGAGAGAATCTCACTTTGAGCTCAAACCTCAGGATGCCATCTTTCAAAGTTCATCAAAGGAACTCATGACTGGACAACATGAGTCTAAGCTCGAAACCTTTCACTTTACACCTTCTCGTGAACGCTCAACCGAGCCTCTAAATGCTGACAGGAGATCACCAAATGATCAAATTGATCGCGAATGTAAGTTTTAGTCTCGATAAAACCCTGCTTGACAGCTCGCTGATGTCACGATTCTGACGACCTTAACGGAAATGCCCACAGTTGCTGAGCTAGCCATGACAGATCAAACTGAGTCTCCCCTCAAGGTTTCAGATGGCGCTCTTCCTGATGAGCCATCATCCCCTGAACTCGTCTCCTCGGACTATCCAATTGATGGCACTCGTAAGCGTGCTTTTGATCTACCTTCAGGCAAAGTTTTACTGATGCGAGTCCTCCATCACCCCTGATCCAAATCCAAAGCCACCATACCGATCGCAGAAGCTACTGCTGATATTCAAAAGTCTTTTAATGACTCGACAGAGGTTTCAGAGACCATTGAAGTCTTGCCACTCACTTTTCCCGAACCAGATCCCTCAAAAGAACATTCACTCGAAGCCAAATCTGATGAAATATACGCCTCAAAGACTCCAGTAAAAGAGACTGGTACGCTCATAAACATTGCAAGTCATGATGATTCTGCTGACGATATGTGTTTGACCCCATGTCCATCGAAAATCCCACAGTGACAGAGCCGGTCACCGTGGCTTGCGATAGTCCACTGGAGACTTCTGTTGTGACATCCGATGGTATAGCAAAAACGGCACTCGAAGACACAGGCCCTGTAGGACTTGAAGAGC